CCGTAAAGTGCGTTTGTATTCGAACACTTATCCAAATGTGTATAATGTAATAGGGCATAGAGTGACTGCATTTTTAAGGCAGCCCGATGGGACAAGATTGTATCGTCTTGAAGTGGGTCAATTGAAAGTACACAAAACTGAGCATATACAGCCTCCCCAGTACTCTAAAACACATTTTGTAATCAACTGACGTGTAATTCTGAGAAAAGAGGTCATATGAAAAATCTAGATTATTTTATACCAAGCAGTAGAAACAAATTAATATTTTTGCATATAAAACGCCTACAGATATTGATAATAATTAACAACGGACGCCTCCCTTCATGGCTTCGGGTTATCAGTACTCTGATGCCAGTAGCATGAGTAGAGAGAAAAAAACGAAAAAATAATGAATAAGACAATAAGATAGAAATTGAAATGAAACATTTCTCATTGATACGTTTACTTTTTCCCATTTTAATACACGTTTAAAAAACATCCTTTCACATCTCCCTGGCGAGCATACAGCCTAAGTTGCCGAACACTAGAGCTTGCATGCTAATGGGTCAATTGCTCATTATCAATGTTTTCATGACCAGGCACACAACAGCTCCATTTGTGTTTTTTCTTTGACTCGACTCGGTGTGAAAATCGAGCTCAGGACTTGCTTCGCCTGACACGAGAAAACTCACTGATTCTCAACATATAGGTCCATTTAACACATTTTAATTCATTCAGAATTAACCAGAGAAAATTTGTTTGTCCAAGTGGAATTTTACTGACATCAGTTTTACAACTTAAATCACTGAATAAAAAAATAATTATTATTATTATCATTATTATAATAACTTCACCAGTTCTGACACAAAAAAAAAGAAAAAGAAAAAGGACATGAACGAACTAAAATTTAAACCATTGTTACTGTTGCTTGCAGCTCCATCTCACATGCTTCAAATGATCTCGTTTATTTTGGCTAAAGTATACGTATTTTAATACGTAAATTAAAATTCAAGAAGCGAGCATGATTTTTCAGAAAATGCCTATGTTTAAATGTTTATGTTTATTTTAATTAACAATAAATAGATCGCTGCTGCATAAGCGGTGTCACCTGGCTTTTATAAAAGAATGAAAAAAAACTGTGAGATCTTTTGAGGTCTTTTTAGTTGTTTGATGTTTTTGTAATATTTTAGCCATTTAAATGCGAATACATACGTGGTATATATACAAATAAATTAAAAGTAATTTATGAGAATAACACCAACAGTACATGTTATCTACAACTGTACGGGCATCATCTCGTCTTACGGTCAGCTGCCATTTTTGAACTGTTAATGGCCGCATTCAGAACAATAAAATCAAACTTCATTCTCTAAACAACAAACGGAGACCCCAGTGCTTTCCTTCCCCCTCCCTATTAAAAACACAATCTGACGGTTCTGGCAACTAAGTGCTAGAATCGTTTTTTTGAAAAACAACACTAGGCCTAGTTTCTAATTGTCAGAATTGTTTATCTTAATTGAATAAAATCAAAGTTGGTCAACCATTCAACAAGGCGAGACACCCAGGGGCTGACATGTGCACTGTAGAGATCGATCGGCGGTCATGTCGTCCTCCCCGCACGGCGAGGAGAGACCGTAACACCCTGCCCAGCTTCCTCGGTGAAAGTTATCTGTGCACCGTAGACACGGATCGGCGGTGGTATCGGGCTCCCCGCACGGCGGAGATTGGCCGTAACACCCTGCTCCGGCTTCCACGGTGGGGATTACCTAGATGCTAATCGCCAGTCGATTCTTCATCCGTCCACTCCGGTTTCCTACTTCAAAGACGATTCTGGTTTCTCAGCGTTAGAATCGTTTTTTTTTTCTTTAACGACACCAGTGTCTGGTAGCCCAAATCGTTTTTGAAAAATGACACTCGTTTCCAGTCGCCAGGTTCATCTTTCGAAAAACGAGACTGGTTCCTGATTGAAAATACTTTTCTGTCAAAATGATGAAAGTGACGATCTCAAAATGATGTAAGCACCTCGCAAAAAAAAAAAAAAAAAAAAAAAATTCTTGTCAAAATGATACTTTCATCATTTTTGTACAAACGGCGTTCCACATGGGAGAGACCGTAACACCGTGTCCGGCTTCCACTGGGAAGATTACTTGGTTGCAGTAGACACTAATCGCGCCTGACTCCTATTCCTCCGTCGAGTCTTGTCTCCCACCGCAAAAGCGATTCTGGTTTCTCGGCGTCAGAATCGTTTTTGAAAAACGAAACTGGTTTGTAGTTGTCAGGCTTGGTTTTGAAAAACGACACTTGCTTTTGGTTGTCAGGTTCGTTTTTGAAAAATGAAACTGGAAACTAGAAACTAGACACTTACTTCAGAGCCCGAAAATTGCCTACTTTCGTTGCGTTTAAGAAAACTGCCTCGAATGTAACGTTGTACATTGCTGTAGGTGAGACGCATTGCATCCAGTCCATTCAGTCGAGCTGAGGCAATACAGAAAAAAAAAAAAAAAAAAAAAAAAACATTAGTATACCCAATAATGACACGAAAGGAACGATTAAGTTGGCAGTTATATTTCTGTTAATGCTAGCTCATAATGGGGTTGTTTCTAAACCAAATATTAATTTATTTAAACTTTCAATTTTGGTTCCCTGTATTTTGAGTAAGCAGCAACAAGTTTAATCGGATTACTTGGAGTTTATCTGTCGTAAAAAAATGGGGGGGGGGGGGGGATAGAAAAAAAGTAAACATAACCATTCTGTTTTTTTTATATTTATTTTCTTTTTAAATTCTACATAACCAGGATCTCCGGTATGCGATTTCGGTCTTGATAGCTATATCAATAAAGACGGTTTGCTTATCTCACTGAATGTTGGTTCCTTTTTGGCTGTCAGCCATTTGATGAAAACATTCAAAATGAGCTCAGGTTGTTTCAAGTTATCTCTGAAGCTCAGGGTGTGATGAGCTCAGCGTGTATTCATGGGAGCAGGCGCTTTAATGCAAATAAAGTTTCCGTCTTAAGACCTCATGGCAAGATTAACGACATCGGTCAATCGTTACATGAAGTTATGAAATCTAGGCGACACGGGGTGGCGCACGGCATTTTTAATCCCAAGCTTTTCATAAACTATTCAAAGCTATTCAAGATATTTGCAACAACATCAAGTATAAAACGAAGTCAAATAGCTATAATACATTGTTTATTGCTTATCCAATCTTTGGCAAAAAATAACTTACTGTACACAGAGAGAGAAAAGCAAACCATATTTACAAAGTGATAACATGTAGGCCATATTGGATTGTGAAGTTTTTACACTATAGCAAAGTAAACAAATTTTTTAACGTTTACAAGGAATTTACGGATGAAAAATTACTGTTATTTCAAATATGTACCTATAATATTTGGCAAATCAAAAATTCTAACTAAATATTTCTGAAATACCTGTTAACATTTCGAAATTGTTTTATGAATGATTGCTTTTTCATGACCATCACATAAAATATTAGAATTGTTCACAAAAGTTGTTACATATTTTGATTGAAAGAAATTCATGGACATACTAAGGAAGTCCCTTAATGTGACTTGTACTAATCACAAACTGTGACTGTTAAAGACTATTTGGAAAGAACCAGTGTTCAAAATGATTTAGTTAAAAATATAGTCAATTTAACATTTTTTAAACCATTTTGCATTTTAATATTTTATATTTTCATTTACCAAATTTATTATTTTTTTGACTGTTTATGAAGAAGAGAAATTTTACTAATGCACAACAGAAAATCAGTAAAAAAAGGTAGCACTGTCTAGTCATCATCAGTGGACTTGCTCGGAAGACATTCTGGCTGAAGCAATTAGGTACTAATTTTCATTTAAGATATCCGATATAATAGAAATCACCAAAACATGATTAAAAGCATAACACATTTCAATGAGGATAAAAGCATATGACTAAGTGCCATACAGTGTACTTTGCAATAATCAATTTTGATCAAATAGAGAAAAATTACAATTTAATGAAATTCTCAAAAGTAAAATTCCAATCTCAATCTAAAACATTTATTCTCAATCCTGCCCATAATAATGTGAAGCACATGTACATGTAATAAATTCTTATAAAACTGATATTAATACAGGTAGTTTAACAATGATATATATATATATATTCATTTATATATATATGGCGTGTAGCAAATGTACATAGTCTCTTTAACAACTAGAATGATCCTTTTCTTCATTCAGGACATAAGCAACAATTAATAGTTATCAAAATATAGCTTGCACCAAGTTTGAGGTCACAGGATTCTGGCCAACTTCTCAAATCTCATGTCTGCTTTAAATGAAAAGGCCAATTCCTTCTAATCCATCTCATGCAACAATATAAGTATGAAGTAACTTTGTACATTATGGTCTATAATTCACACAAAATAACACACATGATAAAATTATTAATACTATAGTTGTGAAAAATTACTTGCTCATTGTAAGCAAACAATATATTTTTGTTACATTACATTGGCCATTGGCACCATTGGTAGGAAGAAACTCATCTTCCTAGAAATCATTTTTGTTTGTTCTAGAAAACATTATTATATAACTTTTGGTTATACAAATATGACTGTTATCATACAAACCAAACGGCACTCTTAGCGTAAAGACACCCCCCCCTTGTCATGCTTGCTAAAGTACACGTACTTTCCAATGCATGATGCATTTTCTGCAACACAAATGCTTTTCTTTTTCCTTTGTGGTATGACACTGTACTTTGCACAGCAAAAGGTAAAGACATACAAGTGTATTTCACTTGTAAAAGTCACTCAGAACTGCTTTGATATATTTTTTAATAAATTCTAGTTCTGCGACTGTAAATATTACCAAGTCTTGTAATCTGTGACTTTGTGCCCATGGACATAACGTTTATTCAAAATTCAGAGTAAAACACATATTTTAACCTGAAGGTTGACTTTTCTTGTCAATGGCATTAATATTATCCATATGGACCTTCTTGTGTAAAAATACCTTTCTATGTAAATTGAGCTGCTGATAACTGCAGAATTATTAGTATAGTAACTGGGGCTCCCAATTTACAGTCTGTATGATTTTGTGAAAGTAAATTGAGCCATTAGCAACTCCCAAAAGAACAGTGTGATACAGAGCTGAGAAATCCGTATTCAGTGTCATGGTGAATACCCCTTTTCAGGGTTGGCCATTCCCCGTAAATGCACTAACATTACAAGTCACAACTCCCACACACTGTCAAATCATCATGAGATCAGCTGCTTGTACATTTGTGACTGCAAAAATCGTGGGTACGAGTCCTTCTCCATCAATCCCTGAATGCGTTTCTGTGCAGCGTCAAATGCATGACGGTCAGGATGTCGGATAGTGTGTAAAGTTGCAAGGCGAGTTTTTGAGTCCAGGTTGATCTGCAAAATAAAGAGTTGAAACCATTTAGTTTAACAAATTTCACCATATTTTCATATAGATGTAAACATGGGTTCCATACCTACTGTTTTGTGATGAAGTTTCCTTTGAAATTGGCATTGTGTAATTTGATTTGTAATAAAAATCTAAAATAACATTTGAATGGACTTCAGACATTTCACATGGGAATCAAACAAGGTAGCCCAAAATCTCATTACTTAGCATAAAATCAAATGAAATTTCATGGGATTTAGAGGAGAGTGGGGTCAGAAACAATGTGACATCAGTGATTGTGGTATGACAATGAATAAAAGCCGACATAAGTAATCCATAGATCTTTTTCTGGTTGTTTTCTGTTGAATTAGTCTATTGCATGACGTAATAAATTAACCGTGTTTTGCATGCAATTTTGTACTGCCCGGCACATTAAGGCTTCATTATTTTTGTTGAAGGGTTCACCCTATCTCACACAGATCCTTGCACATTTTAAAGTCCTGTATGACATCGCAAATCTTGGATGATTTCCTTTCACTCACCTCCTTGGGTGCCTGGACAGCAACAAAATCACTGTAGACTTTCTGTGCTTTGTCGGCCAGCTTGCTCAGCTTGGTGTTCTTGAACTCCTCACATGCAATCCAGAACTCTATATTCTCTTCACTAAATTCTGTGCGTAGAAACTCTTGAAATAAACCAAGGCCACCTGAAGAATAAAAAAGCATAGATGGTTTTGATGGTACATATACAGATATACTGATACAGGACCATAGGCAAACTGATGGGTCATGGGTGAGAAAAAAAAAGTCTTTTGAGCAGAAAAGGTCCATTCTGAATCAAAATTTAATTCAGGTTCAATTCCATTTCTTTAGTTTGGTAAACTAACAAAAAAAGGCCCCCTTCATTTGAAAATGCAGGCTACAAATTTGGGACAATAAGAGTAGCAGTGGTAAATTTAAGACAGCAATCTTTGTAATGTATGTGATATCAAGCGGTGTAAATCCTGGATGGAACAATTGTATTTTCAAACTGACAAGTCTTACTGAATATATGTAAACAATATGAAACTATACGTGAATATATACATTATTTGTGGACACCAAAATCAACTAAATAATCAGTTATTCCCTGTTTTAGCCATGCAAGTTTGTAAATCAGTTAAAACAATTTGCAATTCAGTCAATATTTTTTCAAGATGTGTCTTAAACACTTGGTAAACAGAAAACATGTAAACAGGAGTTCTGGGAAATTCTCCATCTTTACTAAAACACCTACACCTAATCATTATTTTCCAGGAAACCAATTCACAGGATGAAGAAACCATTAGTGCTTTCAGACAAAAAAAAAAAAAAAAAAAAAAAAAAGGTGCTAACAAAAAGGTTATAATCTTCATGTTTGTGTTGTAAAGAGGGGTGCTCCTATGATGAATGCCCAAGTTATGTTGGCAGAAGTGTTGATCCCAAAAGACATTTCCTCTGGCCTTTTCCATTATCGATGATGGTTTTTCAGTTAACAGGTTGGTGTGGTATGCCTACCTATACCAGCCTTCATTTCCTCAAGTACCCTGAGTATGTTTATACTGGTATTTCTATAATTTTTAGGTTTAGTTATTGTATTTTTCAGAGATCACATGCAGCTGAGATGTACATGCACATTGGACTACTGGCTATTTTATTTGTGTGAAAGTTGGAAAAAATTAGGGAAAAAAACTGAATTTGATTAAAAGTTTTCTTAATTACATGATATTTATGATACGTTATATCTATCTCGCTACATAATTCTGTTCTTTTATTTTTCTTTCTTTTAAACTTATTCAAACTATTATCATGACAGGTATGTCATTTCATAGGTGACTGTAGCAGATTATCAAATAAAATATCATGACATTACAGGTATATAGAAAAAATTATATCAAGAAAAATTTGTACAGTTTGCCAATCTGTGAAAGTGCCAGTCACTAAAAAAATAAATTACCAACAGCTTCCGAATCTTACAAATACAAAAGTCTTGGAACAAATTTAATGCTGACATTGAGCATTGTTTTTTCAAAGATGATAAACAAATTCTCACCTGGTATTTTAGTTGTTAACATTTGCTTTGTTAAATATGGACTATTACATTCATCTATGCCCATGCTATTCAAGTGTCCGAAAAATCAAGCTTTGGCATTTCTGACACCTAGAAATTGCTAAAAGCCCAGGCTTTCTCCCTAACAAGTTCAGATCACTTAAGTCCCTGGATTTAAAGCATTAAATCTGTAATCTGCCAAATTTCTAAGAGGTTAGATTACAAGTTCCCAGACTCCTCTATGCAATCGACTGGGTCAGAAGGTACGCACAGCATGTGCACTTTATCTAATGGGGCCAGCTACTAAAGAATGACATAGGAAATCTGACCACACTAAATAACAGAAGAAAAAAAGCATTGACCAAATTTTGATTTTACTTCTTTTTATACTTTATATATACTACATTAACTCGTTCCTTATTATTTGAACAATAAAATAAGTATTAATTAATATAAATATTATATCAGATGAGAGCTTCTTAGGCCAGACTTGTACATGGTGCTTATCTATATAGCTATCAAATGAGTTCTCAGCTTACCTTATATATTTAGTTGTTGAAAAGTAATAAATTTTCTCAATAATTGGTCAGACTGCCAAAATGAGTTGTGTTTCTGAACAGAACCCTCTGTACATCTCCCTATTTAAAAACTATATAATCTTTGTTTTATTTCTATCTGAACACTGGCATTCCCAGTGGTGTCACTATTGAGGGATCATTGGATGGTCAGAACAAAATCACCCCTTTATCTCCCAGATGTTAAGCCTGTGCCTTACTCAATTTAACAAGTAATACAAAATGTCACTTCCAGCTTTTATAGTTAGTTAAAATTCAATGGCCAAATCAAATGCAGGGGACCGGGGTGGGGTGGGGGGTTGAGGAGAGGGGGTTCTGCTTGGGTAACTCTCTTACTTTCGAATTCAGATACTCACATTTATCTGCCAATAAAGCTTCAAAGGACTGACTCCACTTGCCAGCTTGACTTGGCGTGGGTTGCAGTGTGCGTGCTGGCTCCACTGTTACAACACTGTCTGTGTGGGTGCGCCGTACTTGCCGTAGTCGTCGTTTTACATCTTTCACTCTGAAAAAATACAGATGACATTGAGATGAAATTAAACATGCAAATTTCACATGCCATCCCCTGTAGCGATGCCAAACACTAATTGTCAGTGACAAGTCTTTTTCAATTTATACAACTTTTAATTTCCTGCGCTAACTAGTGATGTCAAATATTGTAATAAATGTATACAGTGATCAAAACCTATATTTTCCATCCAATTATAATACTAGACATGCAAATGGCACAAAAAAGGGCAACTATCAAAAAAAAAAAAAAAAATTACTTCAATTTTACCAACACCATCCAACAGTTGTGAAAATGAAAATTCATATAACTTTAGTCATATGCACATGTGGATTATATATGGCTATAAACCAACTTTGCACGTCCATCTTGCAAATCAAACTGAGTAAGCATAGTATACATCTGTATTAACTATACCCTAGACCGTCAGAAGAGGTTTTTATCTGATCAAAACCCTTACATTATCAATGACTTCTCCATACCACCTAGCTTAAACCATAAGGATTAGACATAAAACTGTTGCTGACTTGCATATTTACCTAATGAAAAGCACTGGTCTACCCATGGTCACGTTCATCTTACTCTGACAACAAAAGCTGATAATGCAAGTTTTATAGGCTCAGCACAGGATGCATTTCAACTACAAGCATCAATAGAAACTGCATCAGGTACGCATAAGCTGTGCAAGTCGTCATGGTAATGTAGTCAAATGATTATCACGTTCCTATAACAATACCAAATTAGAAAACTAATGTGATTTCCTCCAATAACTTGATATATCTCCATGGCAACTTCCCACATACGTATAAGTATATATATATAATATATAAATGTATCCACCCCCGCTTATAGTGAAGGTCAGGCTCACATGCACTACTAATATCTGACTTCTTTCCCATATATCCCTCTTATCATTGTGTTTCTAATTCAACCAATAAGACAGGAACAGATGCAGCTGATATATATATATTTGGGAGGTGCTTTTGATGTTAACCCTTAACTGCCAGGCAACTTAAAATTATCATTTTTATTTGCATCCATAATTCTACAAATTTACACCAATTTGAGTATGATCAAATAAAAATAGTTAAACGTATTATGATACTAAAAACTGAAATTCTTATCATTTTTAAACTGTGGGCATCATCTGTTTTTGTTTTTCATCATTATTTAAGCCATTCTAACAATCATTTTATTTTTCACAGCAAGAAAAGGTTTCTATACCTAACACAAGCAACTTCAAACACCCTATGTAGTCTACATTAAAGAGATCAATGAGAAAAATATTGGAATCATCCTTTGGAATCCATAATGCTTAATATTCCTAATGAGTTCCCTGTAATATCAATATAGAATAAATTATTTTTTTGCCATTTCTCAATTTCTCATGTAGGATTGATGATATTTAATTAAAATTCAGATCGATAATTAACAGATTTTTTTCACTTGTAATGAATGCCTTAGAATGCTTTGGGAAAACAGAATGTGAAAAAAACAGAAATATTTAATATGTAAAGAAAGAAGTTTCGTGAGAGGAAAAAACCTGCAGACATTCCCTAACGATAAATTACTCAGGTAAGTGAGATGGAAGGACAGGCTTAATACAAAGAAGGTGAATAGACTCCGCAGCAGCTGACCTATTAAATAACTTGTCTTCACAGCTGGCAGCATCACTTCCCTCAGGCAGCAGAAGAAATCCAAATATCAATCGGCCATGATCAAGAGATAACACCTACGCAGGATGGAAAAGGATCCCGCCGTAAGAACACCAAGCTCAAAGGCATGGAGGTTCAGAAATTTGAAAGTAGGGCCCCAAAAGCACTGCTCTTTTGGCAGGAAAAGGTCCACTCTGCTAGTCAAAATTTGATCAAAATTCTAGGTCATTTCCCTCAAGTTTGATCAGCTATAAATATAGCTATAAAACCCCCTTGAAATTGCTTTCTACAGGCCTGCTTCATTCCCCTTAACCTCACCTTTTAAATTCTTTTTAGAACTCAGACTGTTAATACTCATTTTAATTGCAAACTGTAACTCACATTCTGCATGAAACTTTGTTGAAATGTGTCAAATAATTTAACTGGTTACTTTGAGCAAAACTGTACACTACCACAAATTACTTTTACCGAATGTATTCTAGAACAGAAATAACAATTGGTTCAGGGCCTCAAAATCTAATTCATTTAATATATATGGCATATTGTTGTATTAGTTTGAATAGCGGGATGCATAAAGCCAATTATCTCTTTTTTTTAATTCATCAGCATTTCCTGGACTTGGGGTATCCCTGTGCCATCATCAAACAGTTTTCTGCCTGATTCAGTAATGTTGAACAAGACTTCTCATTTAAATTGTAACTATTTACGTCACCAACTGACAAACCCAGGAGATAAATTACCCTTTCCTCTTCAAGGCGAATCCCACCGTCACGTCATGCTGTCAAGTTTAACTGACAACTCTAGGGATAAAAAAAGCAACCTAACCAATAGTTTCCTGGAATTGAGCAAAGAAGCTACTTTATTTTAGTTTGACCCTGTCTGTATGATCGCAGATGATCAGTGACTTTGAAATTAGATAAAATTTGCATCATAAACTGATTAGTGCCACTAGAAAATTAACTCAGAGAACATGACAGGCTAAGCTTAAAATAATTGTCAGAAATATATAAATACTTCCATGATACTCAGTTTAGAATAAAAAAAATTACAAACCCATATTATTGAGAATGCACTAAGTATTTTCATTTCCGAAATTATTGTAAATGACAGAACTTAACAAAATGAACTATATATATAAATTAGAACAAAGCTCACTGGTTTGGGTCCATGCCATTGTACAAATTGTAAATTTCTGGATGCAAATTGATTTAATTGAACACGTAAAGACTGTCCTTCCTTCAGGTTATAAAATAGAATTTAAATTGCAAAAACAAAGTATGAAAAACATTGAGATGACATTTCTAATGAGAAACCAAGGAGTTTAAAGCAAGAATGGATTTCAATTAAATCTCAGGAAAATCCAGCCGGTCAAGCGTATCTCTAAAACTCTGGCAGTTGACCAGAAATTTGCTGGCTGATATATATTTCCAGGAAATCTGAAAAAGGGAAGATGGTCAACTTGACTGCTATCTGACCCCAGGATTATCTTTTCCATGAATCCATTACCAGGAAAGCATGCCTGCCCACTTCTTGTAAACTGAGTCTTTGGATCTGCAATTGTTTCATGATCAACACAGCTCTTCATTTCCTCCTTTTTGTTTCCTTTTTTTTTCATTCATTTAAAGGTACACTCTCATTTAAAATTTCATAGGGTCTGGTCATATTATTTAAGTCTACATATCCTGCACAGCTACAAATCTTTCCCAATTCAGACCTTAAAAAATATAAAACCCATCAAATAAGGCCTGTCATTTAGAGCTTAATCACTGAATTAGGAATGTATTAAAACATCAAATCAAAGTACATGGACGAGTTGAGCAATCATTGGTGAGTTAAAAGAATTGCCCCCCCTCCCCCCCAAAGAAAATTCATTTCAGCAAGTTAATCCTGCATAGTGTATCTTTAAACTGATTTCATTTATATTCTTTTTGGTATCATTTAATTCTAATTCATGTTAATACAATTTCTTTCTTAGTAAATATGTGAAATAACAATCCACAAGACGGTAAAAAAAGTCAAGGCCCTTTGATGAAGGATCAATACATCACACCTCATAGGTAAAAAGTTCTCTTTAGAAATGATTAATGTTTTTACACATTATCATAAAAGAGACAATAAAATACACATTTATATGTTATTATAATATAATAACATTTATATTTTATTATATAAAAGACAATAAAATGCCTATTTCACCAAACCCACAAGATGTTTTGTTTTTAACCTTCCCATTTAAATTTCCATTCAAATAGCCTGCATTTATACATTTCCTTTCCGTGTTATTGAAGCCATGATACCGTTATCTTCCCATAGAACAATCCTCCTACACTAAAAATAAATAATTTAAAAAACGAATGGTGCATATAACACTTCAATTATCACAGAGCTCTTTTATGAAAGAAACTTCAAAACCTTGTGTTTTGGTGCCAAGCAGATATTTAAGGAAAAGTTTAGGATGTTTTGTTAAAGAAAACGTGAGACATAAATCCAATGGTTCAGATGTAATGTTAATACCGTAATCTGGTTCTCAGTCCAGTGGTGACCTTTATTATGAGTCTTCCATGAAATAAGCACTATCACAAATAAAAATCTTCGATTCCCTTCCAGGGCAATAACCTACCCTACCACGCATTTTACAGGTGGCAGAGGGCAATGACTTGAAAAGTTTTGACGTCATTTTATTTGTAATAGGATTCATCACCCAATTCAAAAACATAACAAACTACATCTTGCAACAGTAATTTTAATACCTGATTAACTGTTAATTAAATATGGTTGAAATACCAGACATGCTGGCAAAGCTGGTCATTGGCAGCAATAAGAAAACCTCCCACCTAGCTGTGACTTCAGGATTACTCTAAGCTTATTACTAGTACATGAAATATCATTTTATTTATTTCTAACAAAATTCTGACTGGTCCCATTATTATTTTTTTCCTGCTTTATACCATAGCACCCTCCAATGTGGAGAGAAATCAACAGTAATCAAAACGTGATATTAAACAATGATGCAAATTTTAGCTGCACAAAATGCACGCGTCACCGACTGTCACTTTTTTTTTGTGGAATGACCTAAATTCAGAATCATTTTATAAATTTACTTCCAATACTTTTTTCTCTCTTTTATGCAAATTTGTCTATTTAAGTAGTATTTTCAAAACATAATTTATCTACAATGTTTCGTTAAGAAATATCAATAACAGCATAATCCTCTACTACATTTACCTTTTGTTAATTACGTCAACTTAGTTGGTTTTACGCACTTTATGTAGTCAGACTTAATCTTTGTAGCTAAAACTGTTGACATCATTCATATAATTATTGTGTCCTTCTGTAGGAGCA